GATCGCCATGTTGGTTGATTTAACAAATCGAAAAACCACAGGGACTCCGCGAAGCAGGAAGAGTATTACCTTACATTTTAAGTTTCGTGTTCTATAGAGCGTGTGCAACCACATGCACATGACTCAAAATCCCTTGACATATGAATAACAATGAAACAACCGCCATGTTGGCTGATCTAACAAGAGAAGCTAATGAGGAATGCTTTGTTACCGTCAACCAAGRTGGCGGCTATGACGTAACATGCACCTGCTCTATATTGAGACTTAAATGTAATGGATATTATTTATAGGTATAAAATATTATTACTTTTATTTATAAAATGAAATCTCTACATTTGTTATACTAATTTCTCCTTTCATTTTCTTAAAAGTTACGTTGTCAGCACATTCTAAATATTGTGAATTCTGAATCATTTTCTACTCAAACATCGTTTTTTACCATGCTTTATATAGTGTTGTTAGTACCCAAGATAGACCAGAATGCGCTGCAATTTGTCTAAACTATTTTGGTTAACAACAAAGTCGATAAGCAGTCGGTGAAATGAGTGAAAACGAGCATTAGATAGTACTTTTTTTGCGCTGTTTGAAAAACGTTAAAACATGATATTTTGGTAAATATTCATGTGTCCCCCTGAAATCCAAAAACCTCAWGTGCCAAAACGTTTCCCCAGTAGAGGAGGGATTGGGAAATGGGGTGCATGTGACGTCACATCCACCATATTGGATGACTTTATCAAAATATTTGGTCTTGAAAATAAGCTTCTTTGTTTGAGTTGTGTCATCTTATGCGCAACCATTAAATAAAGAAATGATACTCTAGGAAATGACACGTGTCTGGAATGGAAAAAACCCTGTTGGAAATACATTGGTGCATAATCTCCAATCCCCTCCCCCCTTAARGTCATTATGCGACACAACGGCACTTCATATCTACTCACCAAATATAGTTTTCTCTGTCTGGGTAAAAGTTTATCATCGTAACAGTAATCAAAGCGGATGTAAATCTAAGATTCGGGAGTTTCTTGTAAGAACTGTAGCATCTGGTCATCTGAAAAGAAAAGCTTCTTAGAAGTATAATCACTGAAGATTTCCTAAACAAGTTTTAAAAATTTCCCTCGCCACTAATAARATAAAAATAAGAATCTTTTTATTTAGCTTTCGCTGCTTTAAGAATTTTTGAGGATTTCTAATCTGGTTTAAGGGAAAGAATAGTTTTTGGAATCATTTGAAGAAGATGAAATGCGGTGTCTGGATAGGAAGTGCACTAGTTTAAGCACTGACAATGAAGAATTTCCCATCGAATAACATCGGGAGGGGCTTCAAAGTGATTAATTACTGAATCCGGGATAAGTCCGGCACTAGCTGACAAGAGTTTAACCTTAGGCGATTCTCTGTTTTATTCAAACTGAAAGCAGTTTCTGCGCCTAAAATAGCAGGAAATAAAAACAAGCTCTTGATACAAATA